TGTATGCTGTCTGGGTTAATACTTTTAATCTTAACAGTATTTTGCGTAAATATTTCATCACTTAGCAAAGTATTATATATGTAGTGAATTTTATAGAGGATACCCTTGCTGTCATCGCGATATGCTGGTTTCGTGTCGGCGCCGCCTTGATACTCTATTTTAGTACGCGTGGCCGATAGCCGAAAGGAGCGCGAAGCGGCTGTTGCGCGCGACAATCGGGCCGCCGCCGCGAATGTTGCCGCAAAGACGAAGCGGTAGCTCTTAAGGATTTTTTTCCGATTAGGCGGCGATCGCGCTACTGCGCGAGATGCGTGTTTGTTCGAGTCAGTCTTTCCCTGGCTGTCGAAGGGATAAGAGTACGGAATTACAGAACTCAGTCACTGCTGTAACCTTACGCTCTCAGTAAAACGTTGTTGTTTCCTTTTAAGAAAGGCGGCTCATTTCCCTCACCTTTTCCTTTTCATTATTCAACCATTATTTTCTCTACATATATTAGTATTTAAATATTGACAATGTTCTGCGTAAGTATTTTATCACTGGACGAAGTATTACATATCAATATTTAAGTATTGAAATCAATTATAAGGTAGGATTTGTAACATTAAATATTGAAATACTTGAGTACTAAAAGCTGTATTTGAATCACAGAATATTACTAAATACTGTACTTTTAATATTGAAAATAAGTAATTAATCAATGATTCTTAGTATGATATTTCTATAGGGGAAGGGCATTTGGAGCATCGACCAGGAAGAAGTATGACTCACGTCGACGCACTTAGCGTAACCCACTTCCGACCTGTTTAGTGATTAATGAGTCAGAAGCTGGACTAACAGTTTACGAAGAGCTCAAGAGGAAGATGACAGTATAATAAAACTTTGAAGTCTAATGCTTCAGGACAAGACAAAAGATTACGTGATCCGAGGCGGTCTGCTTTATAAGGATTCTGGTGGCGACATTCAACTCATAGTTCCGAAAAGAATGCAGACATCAATTGTGCGACGAGCCCATGAACAAGGGCATTTCTCTGTAAAGAAGACAGAAGATCTCGTGCGCACCGATTACTGGATCCCAAATCTGCGGCAATGTGTAGAGAAGGTTGTGCGGAATTGCATTACATGTCTCTTAGCCGAAAGAAAACATGGAAAACAAGAATGTTTGCTGCAGCCAATCGAGAAGGGAAGCGTTCCTCTCGACACGCTACACAGTGACCATCTAGGTCCTCTGCCGTCAACGAAAAAATCATATCGATATATATTTGCTGTGGTCGACGCTTTTTCGAAATTTACATGGTTATACGCTACTAATTCTACAAGTACAGCTAAAGTTTTAATGCGTCTGAGGAAGCAAGCCGCAGTTTTTTGCAACCCACGACGGATTATTTCCAATAGAGGAACTGCTTTTACGTCAAATGACTTCAAAGAGTATTGTCGTGAAGAAAACATTGAACATTCTTTGATTACGACGAGAGTCCCAAGAGCCAACGACCAAGTTGAACGCCTCAATCGAACACTCGTACCACTTTTGATAAAATTTACTGCCCCAATGTCAAGTGAATGATATAAGTATATAGAACTTGCTCAGCAATATCTGAATTCAACTGCTCATCGAAGTATCGGCACATCACCATTCCATCTTTTATTTGGGACACATCCTCGACTTAAAGATCGTCCAGATATTCGAGAGTGGCTTACGAAGGAGTGGATAGCATCATATGAAAATGAGCGAAATGAGCTGCGAATTCAAATTAGTGAAAACATATCTAAAATTCAACAAAAAAATAGACGGACTTTCGATAAGAAGAGACGAAAAGCAACAAGCTATCATGAAGGCGATCTAGTTACCATCAAACGTACATAGCAAGGACAGGGATTGAAAATAGCTCACAAGTATTTTGGCCCTTACGAGGTTGTACAAGTTCTGCGCAATCAGCGAGATTTGGTGCAGAAAGTTGGTGAGGGGGAAGAACTAACCCTAAAAGAACTTCCACATCAGCTGATCTCATGAAAACTTGGGTCGTTGAGATCAGTGAAGATTCATCAGAGGATGAAGACTATATTGACAAGAGCATTCGGGGCGAATGCATGAGCAGGACGGCCGAATGTGGAGGTCGTGAGTTGGATCGAGTCGGACCTAAAATCAAGCAAAATAATACCGGCGTAGCAACGGAAACAATTAACGACGCGAGTCGCGCAAGTCAATCTTCTGACATACAGCAATGAGATTAGATGAATATTGTATTACTCTTAAAAAATATATTTATAACATTATTTATTGTAAAAGTGAGTCTGATTGTGATTTGGCCCCTGTCTTTCGATACTTTCAGATCCTACAAAATTAACCTAGATCCAATCAAATATATAACCATATCAGACTATGGCCGATATTCATAGTCCGATTTTATATTTAAGATCATCTTAAGTATTGTCTTAAGATGTCATGAACCAATCACAGAGCCGTATTCGCATCTTAAGACATTACTTAAGACGGTCTTGAAATAAGATTCGACTATGAATACCGGTTATTCATAAGCCGGTATTCATAGTTGAGTCTTATATTAAAGATCGTCTTAATTTTATCTTCAGATACTCCGTAGTCAATGAAATGATCCGTATATCTTCTGAAGATAAACTTAAGACGGTCGTAAATATAAGATCCGACTATGGCTTGGTTTACATCGTACACTTGATGCGCATTGTGGCGGATCGATATAGATCCACACACTCAAACGCGGCGCCGCTAGCCGAGCCGCCGCCGCTCGCCGAGCCGCCGCTGCAGCCGCGAGAGCCTCCGCAAGACGCCGTTCGGCGGCGCACTCGCGGGGGGGTTTTCTCGCGAGAAAATTAGCAAATAGAGACAATAAAAGTCAGACCCCGCGGGAGGTCGAAACACACGCCAAAACTAGTGACCCCGACGTGATCTTCGCGGGTGAGAGAAATGCCGACAGAGCGTTCGCCAACAAGGGCTTCAACAGGTTCCACGGCTGAAAACATGAATCCAACGGCAGAACAGCCAACGGATACACACATTAACAAAGTCGCCGTCCGCGCACCACCCTTCTGGGAGAACGAGCCCGAGCTATGGTTCGCACAACTCGAAGGACAATTCCTGCTCGCCGGCATTACGCAAGACGCTACCAAGTACGCTCATGTACTTTCGCAAATCGACACGAGGTATGCACGTAAGGTCAAGGACGTAATCACCGACCCAACCTGCTACGGACAAATACCTCGCGGTTAAGACTGTCTTAATCCGTCGACTGTCAGCCTCACAAGAGCACAGGATCCGCCAACTCCTAGAACACGAAGAGATGGGAGACCGCAAGCCTTCTCAATTCTTGCGGAACCTACGCACGCTCGCTGGAAATGCCGTACCCGAACAACTGCTACGCACGTTGTGGCTCGGGCGGTTACCGACAACCATGCAAGCCATTCTGGCGACCAGAGCGCAAGACCGACTGGAGGACGTCGCAGAACAGGCAGACCGAATACAAGAGGTCACTGTTCGCTCAGTCAACGAGGTAAAAACGGCGTCAGACGACCCGTCACCGACGGCCCACCAAATACGTCAACTCACCGACCAGGTGGCAGCCGTGGCTCGACGTTTCAGGCAAACGCCTCGTCCACGAAACAAGAATAGGAGCAGGTCAAGGGATAAGAAGAGACCGGATCACCTTTGCTTCTATCATCGGAAGTTCGGGCAACAAGCTCGAAAATGCACCCAACCGTGCAATTTCCAATCGGGAAACGAGCGGGGGAGTCACTGATGGCGGCCAGTGACACGACCCAGACTCCTCGTCGCCTTTTCGTCACCTGCCAGGAAACTAAGAAAAGATTCCTCGTAGACACCAGATCTGACGTCAGCGTGTATCCACGCTCTGCGATCCGAAGCAACCCACAGCGTACATCTTATACGCAGCTAACGGGTCGGCGATACCGACGTACGGGTGGATCACCATAGAAACTCTTAAACAACGAAGGGGGTGATGTGGCGGATCGATATAGATCCATACACTCAAGCGCGGCGCCGCTAGCCGAGCCGCCGCCGCTCGCCGAGCCGCCGCCGCAGCCGCGAGAGTCTTCGCGAGACGCCGTTCGGCGGCGCACTCGCGGGGTGGTTTTCTCGCGAGAAAATTAGCAAATAGAGACAATAAAAGTCAGACTCCGCGGGAGGTCGAAACACGCGCCAAACGCATATTAAATAGTAACTTTCTATTAGATAATCTTAATATCGACGATGTATATAAATAACGGTATATTAAGCTGGTATAATACTGATCAAGAAAACTTATTGTATCGATTGAATGCGTCATCGTTGATATGCATTGTCAATATTAAGATTATTTAATAGAAAGTTACTATATAGTACACGTATCAAGTGCACGATGTAAACCAAGCCTATGGCCGGTATTCATAGGCTGAGTTTCTATTGAGCGCGTCACGCGTCGTCGGTCGCATCACGAGTTTAATCAATCAAATCGTTCCATTGGAACAAGTGCGTCATGCGTCGCGAGTCGCGTCATTCCAATTAGAGGATTTAATTGGTTAACTCGTGACGCAGGCAAACAACGCGACGCGTGACGCGCTCAGTGGGAATTCAGCCTTAGGCTGAGTTCCTACTTAGCGCATCATGCGTCGCGTCGTCCGAGTTAAGGGACGTCTACATTGGAAATAAGTAGTAAGAAGTAGGAAGTAAGAGTAAGAAATTGACCAATCATAGTTGATTATTCTTCTCATATTTGACTGTAGTTGGTCAATTTCTTAAGGTGCCAATACATGGAAGCGTTCCAGCGTCGAGCGTTAATGCGTTAGCCAATCAACGATTCAGGTTCCAGAAGTATACTTGTAGTTCTTGCGGAAAGTGACACGTTGATTGGGTACCGCTTTAACGCTCGACGCTCGATGCTGCCATGTAAAGACACCTTTACTCTTACTTCCTACTTCTTATTGCTTACTTCCAATGTAGACGTCCCTTTAAGTCAATCAAATCATCCCATTTTATTCGGCGTAAAGTTACGCAATAAAATGGGACGATTTGATTCGCTTAACTCGGACGACGCGCGCGTCACGCGCTAAATGGGAACGCACCCTTAGATTGGTTAACGCGTAACGCAGCAGCAACGCAACGGGTGAAGGCCAAATCACACTAGCAATTGACGATTGATGATTGACGATTGAAGATTGGAACTTGACCATTTGGAACAAAGCAAGCCAAGGCTGAAGCTTGTTGATTCGTTAAAATCTAATCTT